CTTGATTGATACGTTCGAAATTGATTTATTAGTGTTACACATTGGGAAACTACGGTTACCGTAGCCTTTAAATATGATATAACGAAGATGATCGTGCATCATCAAGTCTTATAGTTTATTTAATTTACAAAACTGAATAAGAGTTATTTTCCTTTTGTCGCCATGTTGGTGGTCAACGTCTAAAAATTCCTATACAAATCAGCCAAATTCAATTTGTTATACTGACTGCTAGACTTTAGAAATATTGTTTTCTGCACATTTTTTTTAATTTCTTTTAGCCTTGCTAAGGGCATACGATACAATAGCAAGCTTAAGGGCAGATAATGTATGTATGTAAAGCACAGATGATAATTCAGCTTATTAATTATCTTGATTGATATGTTCGAAATTGATTTATTAGTGTTACACATTGGGAAACTACGGTTACCGTAGCTTTTAAATATGATATAACGAAGATGATCGTGCATCATCAAGTCTTATAGTTTATTTAATTTACAAAACTGAATAAGAGTTATTTTCCTTTTGTCGCCATGTTGGTGGTCAACGTCTAAAAATTCCTATACAAATCAGCCAAATTCAATTTGTTATACTGACTGCTAGACTTTAGAAATATTGTTTTCTGCACATTTTTTTTAATTTCTTTTAGCCTTGCTAAGTGCATACGATACAATAGCAAGCTTAAGGGCAGATAATGTATGTATGTAAAGCACAGATGATAATTCAGCTTATTAATTATCTTGATTGATACGTTTGAAATTGATTTATTAGTGTTACACATTGGGAAACTACGGTTACCGTAGCCTTTAAATCTGATATAACGAAGATGATCGTGCATCATCAAGTCTTATAGTTTATTTAAGGTAGCACTACAGTCTAACAATGATTTTTTGAAGATATTTTTGTTATCACATAATTTTGAATTAAGTATTATTCTGCACAGTTTGTAAAAATCCCAAAGTCATTATCATATCACAACAGGGAGTAAATTGATAATGAACTTATGTAAATAAAAGCACATCGTAATTAAACTAAATATATAGGCATTTGGGAGGGGCTAATATGTCAATCATCTGTTGATACCAGTGTCCAGCTGTTAATCCCTGACCACAAGATAAATATTGTGGTCTTATCTCATTGTATTGCAACAAAAGTAATTTATATAACATGTTTATAAACAGAGAAAAAGAAAAAGATATGAAGGAAAAAATCTAAAGGGAAGAAATCTACAAAAAATGAAAAAAAATATGGAAAAGAGTGTGAAAGTATCTTTGAAAGCCTCTGACTGCCTGTATAGATTTCTTCTATTTGGTCTTCTACATTTAAATACAGTTTTAGGCATTTTAACCAATTTTAAGTTTATGTAAAATTTTTCAATTCCATAAAACTCAAAAATCATGTTGGAATGTCTTTTTTTAAAGAAGTGGATGGTCTTGGTTCTTTTTATTAACATGTCTTTTGATGCACAATTTTAATGTTCTAGCTTAAATTTCAGTAATAGTATATTTCTTTTTAAAATACAAATGAAATTTATTCTTTATAGTGAGAATAATGATGTTAAATATTGATTATATGCAGCTGGTAAATCCTGTTATTCTCTTATCTTAGACTGTCTGGACAGAGGCGGAGCTTTGTCTATATTTAATTACTACATCACAAATAGTGGTCAAATCTGTGACGTCAAACTCCCGCCAAATGCCAAGTTAATGTTGCACAGTGCCACACATAATGCAAAATTTACAGCATAAGAGCATCAAAGAGACAAAGTGTGAGGTTCTATTGATAAAGTAATGGTGTCAGAATACTCCTGGGGTGTTCCCAGTGTAATTTTTGTATTTATGTTGCATTTATAGGGGTTCTAAGGGGGAAATTCCGTTTTTAGGTCATTTCTCAGAACAATTTTTCATGAGATTTGTTAGGAAAAAATGAAAATATAAACTTTATGGGTACCCCCTTTGGCTTGACTTTGATATAAGTGATTAAAGGGAGTATTTTCTACAATGCCGTGTCCCAGTTTTTGGATAATTTGTTTCTAAATGAATTTATAGGTCTCTAAAGATGAAAGGTGAAATGAGGTTTGGCACCCAGCAGTTAAATCAATATATCTTCTTACTGGAGGCATATATCAAAAATCTGAGACACGTTTTTGCAGTTTGTATATCGTTGATTAAAGGGATGAAAACAAATTTTTACTACCATTTGACCTGAATGTGCCATTTCCATCCAAGTTGGAAGACCATTTTTTTTGGAATTAATGAGCTATATTTTGAGATTTATCATACCAAAAATAAATTTATCTATGGATTAAGAAAGAGTAATATTTCAGCTTTAAAATGAGTTAAAGATTTTAAAAATCCATTGAGTAGTTTTGGAGAAATTAATCTTTAAAGACTGTTGATTGGAGTCAGAAAATTCTGACTGTAGTGCTACCTTAATTTACAAAAATGAATAAGAGTTATTTTCCTTTTGTCGCCATGTTGGTGGTCAACGTCTAAAAATCCCTATACAAATCAGCCAAATTCAATTTGTTATACTGACTGCTAGACTTTAGAAATATTGTTTTCTGCACATTTTTTTTAATTTCTTTTAGCCTTGCTAAGGGCATACGATACAATAGCAAGCTTAAGGGCAGATAATGTATGTATGTAAAGCACAGATGATAATTCAGCTTATAAATTATCTTGATTGATATGTTCGAAATTGATTTATTAGTGTTACACATTGGCAAACTACGGTTACCGTAGCCTTTAAATATGATATAACGAAGATGATCGTGCATCATCAAGTCTTATAGTTTATTTCATTTACAAAACTGAATAAGAGTTGTTTTTCTTTTGTCGCCATGTTGGTGGTCAACGTCTCGAAATTCCTATACAAATCGTCCAAATTCAATTTGTTATACTGACTGCTAGACTTTAGAAATATTGTTTTCTGCACATTTTTTTTAATTTCTTTTAGCCTTGCTAAGGGCATACGATACAATAGCAAGCTTAAGGGCAGATAATGTATGTATGTAAAGCACAGATGATAATTCAGCTTATTAATTATCTTGATTGATATGTTTGAAATTGATTTATTAGTGTTACACATTGGGAAACTACGGTTACCGTAGCCTTTAAATCTGATATAACGAAGATGATCGTGCATCATCAAGTCTTATAGTTTATTTAATTTACAAAACTGAATAAGAGTTATTTTCCTTTTGTCGCCATGTTGGTGGTCAACGTCTAAAAATTCCTATACAAATCAGCCAAATTCAATTTGTTATACTGACTGCTAGACTTTAGAAATATTGTTTTCTGCACATTTTTTTTAATTTCTTTTAGCCTTGCTAAGGGCATACGATACAATAGCAAGCTTAAGGGCAGATAATAAGGCATCCAAATTTAACGCGTTATTTTCACCACCTTGCTTATGATAAGCATCCAAAATTCGCGGAAAAATCATAACGTTATCCAATCGGTTACGTGGATTTGAAAGTATTTGCATAGGAAAACGAAGATAGTGTAAAATATACTGCGAGGACATATATTTCGAGGCAAATGTAGACTGTTTACTTTGCTTTCATCAATAAATACGTATATGACAGTACCTCGTACAGCTGTTTGATGAACGGCGGGAATTACTGCACGACGGTGTTGCATTCAGAAAACACTGCAACGTAATATAGAGTCAAAGGAAAATGGGATCGCCAGCATCTGAAAAAAAAAGAAATTTTCCATTTCTAGATAAAAAATGACCACATGGACCCCCACATTGTTTTTTTGGCAATCTACTATATACTGCTTCAGAATGTTATATCAAAATTGCATGAAAAAAAAACAACAGTAGATTTTTTTCTGTATGAAATTGTATTGGGAAGTAATTTTCGACGGCTTTTTATGGCCAATAATTTTAGGATTTCACAAAAACTTTTCGTATTCAGGCTTCATTTTAGGGACGTACTTTAAAGCCTATAATTTAGAGAACGCTTGGGAAAAGACGGGTGAAAATATCTCTTCCCGTTTGAAGTCATTTTTTTTCCGGAAAAGTATTGGAATATGTATTTTATTGTTTAAAAATAAAACATACATATTTCAAGTATAAATATCGCAAAAGTAATGCATATCAAAATTGACTCTGTGTCAAATTCTAATGGAAAAAGAAAAAATCAATCGTGTCGTATGCCCTTTATTATAGATCACTACGATGTAGTACGGATCTCTTATCAGACTCGATTTTATTTACATGTTTCAATTTGCATAGTCAAAAAAGAAAATCTTCCAGTTACATTTTCTACAAGATGGTCAAGGCAAATAACTCAAACTCATATTATATCATTTCGAAATCTATGTATTGTTAAAAATTCATATAAAATTAAATGCTTTGTAGATACATGTATGACATGTCATACTGTGAAACATATTCGCTACATTTTTTGTATGACAATAATCATATGTTTATTGACATTAGTGTGGTATGGCATTGCAATGTACAACTTCATAACCTTATTCGATGCAAACCTTTTGGAACTGTGAGACAACCACGAAACAACTAAATTCACTATCAAACTTATTGCAAGACAAAGGTCACATGAAAAAACAACAAATTCAACTGTATCAGGTGATGATGTTATCACTTAATTTATAACAACATATATATAAAAACAAATTTCAACGGATATTTTTATATTTATTTGGAATAAGTCGTTTTGATAAGATTTTTTTTTTAATTTCTTGTCACTAAATAGTCTTTTTGACGCTTCTTGTCGCTAAATTATTCTTCTTGTCGCTTCTTGTCGCTAATTAGTGAGACCCAAAATTTTAACCAATTTGACGCTAATGGTTGCCGAAAATGACCGTTTGACGCCTGACCGTGTGACGGTAAGGGGCATTCCTACCCTCAGGAGATGACCTGCTTTATACTATCATAATTACGTAAAGGCGTGACATCTTTCCGTTCGTAAATTTCGCGCGAGTAGAGTTGCAATTCCTTATAGGTCACATGATTTACAATCTTTAAAAATGGCGGAAGCCAGTGCCCGTCCACGAGTTTTAATCCTGGGTGGTATGAATATTTGACTATAAAACGTTTTGCTAAATGAAAATAATCCTCACAGTTAACCTACTCAGACTCATTCAATGTTCTCGGAGTATGGCAAACAAAAATGTAAAGTCTGGGCCTAGTAAAATGTAACAAAACAAAATGTTTAGACATCCTACTACATGTACATGTACAACAATATAAATATTTTCTTTTCCAAATATAACAAAGACTACAGAAAAAAAACTCTACCAACTGGTAGACATTTTATCTGAGATAAAAAAAAAATGTTAAAAGCTCTACAATGTTGAGTCACTATGACTCATCATCTCCTAGGCTAAGGGCTTGTATCATAGACATAGAAGTTTTTGGGCCACAAATATATACCAGTAGCCAGTATGTGTTCTCAACTATAAACACATTGAAGAATGCATATCAATCGACTGGCATATATTTCCGGCCCAAAACGTCTACAATACTATCCCCTGTGGTCATCTGGCATAGTAATTAGATGCCTATTTCTGAGACTACTAACACATTGTGTTATAGTAGTCTCAGCCTATTGTAAACAAACTTCCATATCATTTACAGAGAGATGGACTTCAACTGCTGTTAAATACACGAAGGATCATTACATTACATTTCCTCCATATAGTATACACACTGATACAGTTTTTGTTAAGTTTATCAGAAATCAAACCAAACTTTAAAAAAAAAGACCAAGCTTGAACTATAATGAATAGCCAGTGAACATATGTGTTTCATATTTTTCATGTCAGGGCCTTTTATAGCTGACTATACAATGTAATGGGTGTATACAGTATGGTTTTTCTCATTGTTGAAGGCCTTACGGTTGCCTATAATTGCTTACATCCACTTTATTTGAACTTTGGTGGATAGTTGTACACGACCTGTCTCATTGGCAATCATACCTCATCTCCTTATTTTTATAATACTAGAAAGAGAGAGTGATGATTTCCAAACTGATCAGAAAGGATTTGTGAATATTTCAACAAGAAAAACTGTATATATTAGCAATATATTTAAACTAAATGCTCTTGGTTGAAGTGTGCTTTTGTATTCAGTATATTCAGTCAAGAAATACATGTACTTTAGTGTAGAAATTCCCTGAAGTATTTTCCCTAGGGTCTCACTTCAGAATAAAGAAATATATATAGATAACATGTGTGATGTTTGCTGCTGGGAAAACATGAATCTTAATAGAAGTCAATCGTTGCAAATTATGTCATTGAACGATAACTTAAGAACATGAAGAATGTAAGCATTTTACGAGAAAATGCACGAATGTGAAACTGAAAGTCGTCAAAACATGGAAACATAAACAAACTATAATAATTTGTTAAAAGCTCATTTTCTTAAAAAAAATAAGATGATCATTTAAATTTGTCAAAACCTGTCCCTAAGTATGTTATTGTAAATCGTTTTTAAGCATGTCAATAATTCAGTTTTCTTTTACGTCAATACTAATGTAATAGTGGTTTGATTCCGCCAGTGTCATGAGTGTAGTTTATCCGGAGGAAGAAAATCCCCAGTGATTTTTATCCACCAACAAAAATTCACTAGGTTTTTCTATCCGGGTCCAGTGTAAAACGTCTACCAGTCATTATAAGGTTCTAAAAAGGTTTTTTTTAAGGGGAAATATATATAAAATGTGGTTTTATAGTTTTTAGTGTATTTGACACTTGCATAGTTGATTTATGTAAAAAGTGGAGAGTTATCATCCAAGGAATGTTCACACTAGCATGACTAGTGTTTTGAAACAAGGAATGATTACACTAGTGATTTTGTACCGGAATGATTGCACTAGTTATTTTATACCGGGATTAATTACACAAGTGCTTTAGATCCATACATTAATTGTGAAGTGATTAGTACTCATTTGAACACACGATAACACAATAATGCTTAGCAACGAATAAGATTTAAATAATTTTTCTATGCAAATCTATAAAATCATATCTTCTATGTCAATATCAAAGGATGCTTCTATAATTGAAACTTTATGTAAGAACAAATCTGCTCTTTAAATTTTGTTTATATCAAGTTCAATGTCCTGATCATTGATACAGAATTTTGAGTTATGAAAACGTCCTCCTGATCATCATCAATATTATTTACTAGATTGGCTCAGATTAATTAAACTGGTTCCTTGAAAATCGTTTTAATTTTAACCCATTTATTTATGTAAACAATAAACCAGTCTTATATAAACAAAACAACGATATCAAGATCGACGCTTTCACACTATTTACATCCAATATTCTCTAGTGAAAAACCGTTACATGGAATAAATACATGGCGGAATGAAAGTATGCTTACAAACTAACAGTGTGTTGAATTATGGGAATAGCAAATATTTGATTATGAGAATGGAAACGGGAATGTGTAAAAGAGACAGCAACTCAAGCATGTCAAGTAAAGAGCAGAAAACAGCCCAAGGCCACCAATGGGTCTTCAACACAGCGAGAAAATCCCGCACCCGGAGGCGGGCTTCAGCTGGCCCCTAAACAAAAATGTATACTAGTTCAGCGAAAATAGACGTCACTCTGAAATCTGAAACATATAAATGAACTAATATTTAAAAAAAAAATACAAGACTAACAAAGGCCAGAGGTTCCTGACTTGGGACAGGCACAAAAATGTGGCGGGGTTAAACATGTTTTTTGAGATCTCAACCCTCCCCCTATACCTCTAGCCTATGTAGAATAAACAAACACATAGCAATACGCACATTAAAACTCAGTTTAAAATATTGTTATCGGTATTTCCAATTTGCCTTCTCCTAGAGCGCCTCGATCCAAAAGACAATGAAAGAATTGCAGTCTTTGTCCTATTAGAATAGAAAAAATTCATGTGGGCTTGAATTTGTATAAATTTTTGCCACGGGTTGGCCTTTTATGACGATATTTTACCCTTTCTTTCGCTTGAGGTAAATGTTTACTTTTTGTTTGGAATTCTGACCAACTGCATTGCAATTTATTTTCACAATATTCTGAATTCGTTTTGTACTCTGTTGATGAATTTAATAAGAGGAGACCCATTTTGACATATTCACAAGGATTTATATTTACTTAACTCATTCAGTCATTAGTTGGCTTAAAAAAAGTGGTTCCAGAAAAGAGCTGATTTACAGTATTCAGTGATATTGTATTTTTTATCATGTTTATATGTATATGTTGTAGGTACAGGGTTTATAGGAAGAAATCTGGTGTCATACTTGGTTAAGAATAATCTGATTAGTAATGTAGGTATATCATGTATATAAAACTTAACATTGTACAATCATTACAGAGGGTCTGGATGGGGTTTACAGAATAAAGTGGACAAAGATAATCAGTCAGGGGTACTACTTATACAAGTGATTTCATTATCACCTATTTAAGTGATTTGATAAATTCAGTTTTCACCTATTTAAGTGATTTTTGTGTTTCCTTTTATCTTCAAGTGCTAATTTCATTAATTTTCCGTATTTTGACAAATTTTTCTGTAATTTTCCTACATAGATCAATTATCCCTTTCTCTTGTATATTAATTTCACCAGTGCGCTTGGGCAGTAAGCAGTCAGGGGACTTATTGAAATAAGTGATTTTTAAATCACTTATTTAAGTAGCAAATTCAAAGTTTTGTCACAAATTGTGATTTTGTAGTTTTACCAAAATTTTAAATACATAGGTTTAGATAATATCTTTTCATTAGTAAAATTGAAAAAAATGAACTTCTTGCTTCTTTTAAGCAGCAAGGTTTATGCCTTTGATGCAATCATTTAGCTGCAAATTCTATTTTAGTTAAAAAAATGCTATAAAAATGGCTTTACATAATGAACTGATACTTTCTCAACAGATTTTTCCCAGCAGTGGGAGTATTTTTCCTGTAAAATTCAAGGTTTCATCTTATAGATTATGTAATAAAATTCTACTGTTCGCGATCAAAATTTCACTGTTCGGGGATGTTGAAATTAGTGGGGGTTATTAAAATAACGATACTTAAAGAAGTGATTTTTTGGAAGGAAATTGAGGTATGATACTTAAACAAGTGATTTTTATGTCATTATCCCAGATTTAGTACAAGGTCATCACCTGACATGACCCGGTCATCCTATCAACACAGATGTTGGTTCTGATAATTTTAGCAACATAATTAGTCCCTGGATCATTAGTATTCTATATTTAAAGCTACAATAAAATTAAATCACTTAGTCTAGTGATTAATTTGTACTACTTAAATAGGTGATTATTAAAGAAAGACAACTCTTACTTCCAACCTTTATGGACATAATGTTACTTGATTCAGTGATTTAGAAAATCACTCATTTAAGTAAGTCTCCTGACTGGTAAGTTAGTGCACTAAAGCTTTTAAAAATACCCTTGGGGAATTTTTCTGTAATCAAATATTCATTAACTACTCTTACAATCAGACAAAGGTCAACAATTTTAAGTTACCTGATTGGTCTTCCTTAGAGTTAGAATGATCTACTTCAATGTTATGTCCTGATTTGCAAATTATTCCAGTTTACATGGTTTATGCATATTTTAAATAAACTGTAAAAACTGACAGGCTCATCAAGCAAAAAATAATTTCTGCATGCATATAGTTGTTTTTTAAATGAATCCTTGTCTTTTTACCAATAAAAAAACCAAGCTTGTGGGGAAAATATCAAGAAAATGTTATAAACTCTTATTGAAGTGATTACATTTTTACCTCTCAAATTACTTGTTTCAGTGATTTTAAAAAGTCTGTGTCTATTTTTGTGAAAATTTTCAATTTTTCAAAGCCAAAATCACTTAAAGATGTGATTCTGAAATCACTTGTATAACATGTATAAGTAGTACCCCTGACTGATAATAGAAAAAAAATTGGTAAAAATAATAAAGAATAGAAAACAATATTAAGGTGGTCAAATATAAAGAATATAGAAAAATGAGCAAAATAAATAAAGACTATTGAAAATGTTCTAAAAGAATTAAAAGAAAAAAGAAATAAAGGACCTGTACCAGACCCTCCGTCATTGCAGTACACTACAGCCTAAGCAGATTTTGTCATTTCCACTTGCCATTTCAAGCAGCCCACTCATTTGTAACCCCAGATATTGCTAAAAATATGGAATGTTAATATTAAAGCCAAAAAATATTTTAGGTATTATATCATGTATATGGTCAATAACAAAATTCAGCTTATACATTTGAAAGTATACAAAAAAGACATGGCACTGGTGTTAATATGTCTTTTGATTGAGTTCAGCCATTTCAATTGATATTTTATAGTATGTCTTTCTTTGTTGTGATGTTACACTATTGTTTCAGATAAGGGTGAAGGTTTGGTACCATTAAAATGTTTATACCCACTGCAATTGTTTGCACCTGTCCTAAGTCAGGAATCTGATGTTCAGTAGTTGTCGTTTGTTGATGTGGTTCATAAGTGTTTCTTGTTTCTCGTTTTTTATATAGATTAGACTGTTGGTTTTCCCGTTTGAATGGTTTTAAACTAGTAATTTTTGCCCTTTATAGCTTGCTGTTTGGTGTGAGCCAAGGCCCTGTGTTGAAGACCGTACTTTGACCTATAATGGTTTACTTTTATAAATGTTGACTTGGATGGAGATTGTCTCATTGGCACTCATACCACCACATCTTATATCTATGAAATTCAAAATGATGATTTAAGGTATAAAACCACTAATTTATAGCCCCATTGCTTTCTATGTTAAATTCTGCAATTTCAAGCATAAATGGCTACTTTATCTTAAGTTCAAATAAAGTGGCAGTTATTTCATGTCAAAACTGTACCTTATGCTGACTTGTGCTGAAAAAATCAACATACCTTTAATTGCATATTAGAGCGTACTGGTTCCCGGAAGTTTGATAGTACAAAAACAGGAACTTCTGATCTGAACAAAAGGCCAAATGAGCCCTCCTATTAAAATTTCCTATACTTCTTTATTATTCAAATAAAACTTTCAACAAGGGTTCTACAGTGACCCCAAGTCCCCAAGCTTTCATTTGATACTAAAACTACCCAAATATTCCCACTATTGACAAAGATACAGCTATGCGTAGGAACTATTTTGTTTAAAATATGTACTACTTTCTTGTATGTTCTTTCCGACCGGGCCTAAATTAGTGGTTCTATACCTATAATAAATCATTTATTAAAAAAAATTATACAAATAAACATATTTATACATTTTGAACAACATGTACAAACTTGAAACAAAAGATATATCATGATGTAAAATGCATGAGATGAAATGCTAATTGTTTCTAATTTTTAGTTTATTTAATTTGAAGATTATCTGGCAGTATGTAAACACTTTTCTCTTCAAATATACTCAACTGCTGTGATTTTTTAAAAATTATTTTGTCTGTACATATTTAAATTTTTTAGGTGAGAGTTGCTGACAAAGTGCCACCTCCCATGGCATGGCTTAGTCCCAGACACAAGGTAAGGCCACATATAATAATTCTTAAGCTTCTCAGGTGAGAGAATCTGACCAACTACTACATCCCATCATGCCCATGGCATGTCTAAGGCCTTGTCACAATTAAGGAGAGAACACACGAAATAAATCTTTAGCGTCTCAGGTGAGATGATCAATAGTGCCAGTCCCCATGGCGTGGCTTAGTCCTAGACACAAGGTAAGGCCAAATGAAATATTTTTATGCCCCCGCCATAGCGGAGGGGGCATTAAGTTTTACCCTTATCCGTCTGTCCGTCCATCCGTCCGTACGTCCCAAAATTGGTTTCCGTTCTATAACTTTAGTTTTCCTCAACCAAATGTTATGAAACTTTAACACAATGCTTATTACCACAAAACACTGATCAAGTTTGAATTTTGGTGGTGTCACTTTAACCGTTCTAGACTTGTGCCATTTACAAATGGAAAAATCGCTGAATTTTTGGTTTCCGTTCTTTAACTTCAGTTTGCCTCAACCAAATGGTATGAAACTAATACACAATGCTCATTACCACAAAACACAGATCAAGATTGAATTTTGGTGGTGTCACTTTTACCGTTCTAGAGTTATGCCCTTTACAAATGGAAAAAATTGCTGAATTTTTCGTTTCCGTTCTCTAACTTCAGTTTGCCTCAACCAAATGTTACGAAACTTATACACAATACTTATTACCACAAAACTCAGATCAAGTAGAAATTTGGGAAGCGTCACTTTTACACTTCTTGAGTTATGTCCCTTTATATGTTATATGCAAGAGGGGGCATCATCTGTGTCCCATGGACACATTCCCCATTTTTTTTTATTTTCTAAGGTGAGTGTTGCCTTTCATGGCATATCTTACACCTAGACACAAGATTAGGCCACATACAATAATGTTTTAGCAAATAAGTTGACAAACTGTCACCTCCCATGTCATGGCATAGTCCTAGACACAATTAAGGCAAGGCCTCACAAAATAATTCTTTAGCATTTCTGGCGAGAGTAACTACAGAGCCACCTCCCATATCATGATTTTGTCCTAGACACAAGCTTTAAGGTAAGGCCACATAAAATTTTTTTTTAGCATATCAGAATATCAGGTGAGAGTAGCATTAGTGCCACCTCCCATGGCATGACTTAGTTCTTGTCACAATTATGGAAAGGCCACATACAATAACTCCTTAGCATATATCAGGTGAGAGTAGCAACAGAGAGCCACCTCCCATGGCATGAATTAGTCCTTGACATAAGAAAAGACCAGAGGGTGCCACCTCCCATGTCATGACTTACTTCTATACACAAAGTAAGCACACACAAAATAATTTTAAAGCTTCTCAGATGAGAGCAGCTGAAAAGTCAACTCCTTGTTCTCTATTTTTCAGTAGACAAAAGGAATAACATCAATAAGCAAACTATATTTTATCAAATATTTGTTGTAACATGGGTCATATTACCTTGGCATCATTTTGATGTTTCTCTGACATTATTTTTTTTAAATCCACCAGTTTCTCAGCTATATATAGTACATGTAGTAACAGGTCAGTGTCCGTTATAGGGCAATATGTAATTCAGTAAAAAATAAAATTTTAAAAAGTTTCTAGTGTCATCCTTTAAGAACATTTGCTTGATTAAGTATGATTTTCTTATTAATCTTTTTTTGTAGGAGATATTTGCTATGCCTCAAGTAGAATTCAAACATTCCAATCTTATAAACCCAAGTAAGTAGATTTAATGTAAATTCACAAATTTTAGCAAGTTTTTTTTATTATTGCAAAAATTGCTATGGTATATGCTTCACTAAAAAATCTCACATTGTAAATTTTGATAGCATTATTAGTATGTAGCATTTCTTAAAATCACAAATAATCGTGCATTTGTCGATTGTTCAACAAACACAATAATAAATGCACACAAAAAAAAAGGAAATATGAGGAAAACACCACAAAATAGACAGCAACCAAACAAAACAAATTCATAAAGATAGACATGTAAAGGTCAAGTTTTGATAATTAAAACAATTAATTCTTCTGACTAGACTTAATTCAGAAATTAATGCGTGCATTTATTATTACACATGTACAACTTTTAAATAATGCCTTTTTTAATGGACAAAAATGGGTGAATAATTAATGCGATTTCAGGCAAATTTGCATATAGATATATATATATATATGTATTGAATTCAGATTACAAGTTTTTATAAATGCGATAATCATCCAGTCACATTATTCACAAAAATAAAAACCTTGCAATTCAATGTGAATTTACCTTATTTAAAAGCAAGAGAGAGAAGATAGATTTGTATTTGCTATTTTTATGGCAAGTTTTTATTGGTTAAAGGAGCCAGCTGATTGCCCTGAGTACACGGACCTTCCGCAGGAAAACTGGAAGTCCTAGTCAATTAAGATTGGATACATACACACCTGCCAGGTGCGATATTCAAACTTACAATCTCAATGTTGATGATACAGAAGGTGAAACAAAAGAGTAAGCAGTGTCTAATCCAATAGTGATGGCCATTATGTTAATCAATACAAGTAGGATGTTCCTTGCAAGGTTGGATCCAAATTTTCTTCTGTCATTAGCAATAATCATTATAATGGAAGATACAGTGAAATGAAAACAAAACATGCAGAAATTTTCTTTTGAATGTATTCACTAAGTTTTGTTAATTTGATCATGATGAAATTGACAGTATTTATGATAACTGATTACAGAGTCAGTAGAGAATGCTTTTGCGGACCCTGATGGAGAGTTTGATTATGTGATAAACCTGGCTGCTGAAACTAAATATGGACAGACTGATCCTGTAGGTATTACATTGTGTTTAGAAAAGCAATTGAAATATAAAAAAATTATAAGAAGATGTGGAATGATTGCCAATTAGACAACTATAAATTAGAGACCAAATGATGTAAAACATAACAACTATAAGTTACTGCACGGCCTTCAACAATGGGAAAAACCCACACAGTATAGACAGGTTTTTCCAATTATCTGCTTTAGTTTGTGACGCGACTCCTAGGCATGGTTCTAGTACGATCGCCATTACAACCGTGAAAAAATTGTAAACAAGATATACATCTATTTCCCAGACCGCTTATAATTAACGTAAACACAAGAATGTGAAGTGTACTTGACCTCAGCAAAATTACAAAATAAATATTAAAGTAATTAGATAAGGAATGGACATTAAAATTATAAGTGTATTGCAGGCCAGGTGTCGTGTCCTTAAAATATATCTCATTTTATTTGATACGTTAGAACCAGGACATAATATTTGCAAATACGAATCCCAGGTTACATATCGATTATAATCATTTGGTAATCGTAATATTGATTATTATAACACATACATAAATACAAATTAATTGTCTTGCAGGTCGAATGTGATATATCAGAAAAACCAGGTGCAATTTTATCGACAGCCCGTTTTCTCAGGCGCTGTTACTTACATCTTCTGAAAAAAATATACCTATATGTTATCATATAGTTATTAGGTGTTCGATTCCAATTTCTTTTGTAGAAAATTACTTGACATGAAAATACTAGTATGCATAGTATAACATCATGCTCCGGCCCGTGCTGAAAATAAATGAATGTCATTAAACCACAAAAGACACAAACGTGTAAATTTAAAGCAATGATTAGAATTATGTTTTAAAAGCTTCATTTAGTGTTTTGCCAACTTCCCCCTCCCCACCACCCCAAAACAGAGGTCTCGTATATTTTCATCCTGAATCTGTATTAGACTCCTTTATAAGTCCCCGATATATATATAATACAGTGAAATACAGAATTACAGTATTACATTAGGGATGTATATTGGACCATCCGACTAAAGTGAATATATACTTTAAGCACACATTCCTTCATATATGGACCATTAAGACGAGGTTTATAGAGAAGTGCCCTTAATAGTAAGTTTTGCTGTGATTTGTCTATAGATGCAGCTGTTTGTAAAACCTTTAAGTTTTTCAGCAAGAACTGGCACTCAGGAATGAAATAGTTTACTAGCCTTACTTTTCGAAATATGAAAGCGCCGTCCCAAATAACCAAACATCAAACTAAGTGTTAACCTTTAAATCAGTACGATCCAGCAACAGCTGATCTGCAATATGGTAGTTGAAAAGTAAATTGTGTATTTATTCCACTAAAGAACAGACAAGTTGCTTTTTAAAAAAAAAAAGACAATACGTGAACCATTAGAACTTTTTTATGCTATTTATTAATTCAACTAAATTAAAAATTATATCTCAGTGCTTTCATGGCCATGTGTGTGGAGGAGGATATTTTCTTTTTGAATTATTGTAAATCATGACAATATGAGAGTGGTGTTAATTATAAAGTGAGATGAAAATAAAAAGGGAATGTGTCCATGGGACACACATGATGCCCCTGCTTGCATATCATATAAAGTTTTAAAGGAACATAACTGAAGAACTGTAAAAGTGACACTACCCAAATTTGTAGTTGATCTGAATTTTGTGGTAATAGGTATTGTGTATAAGTTTCATAGTATATGGTTGAGGCAAACTTAAGTAAGAGAACGGAAACTTTTATGTTTGTAAAGGGGCATAACTCTAGAACAGTAAACATTACACAACCAAAATTCTAAATTGATCTGTTTTTTGTGGTAATAAGCATTGTGTATAAGTCTCGTACCATTTGGTTGAGGAAAACTAAAGTTAGAGAACGGAAATGAAAAATTCAGCAATTTTCATTTGAAAAGGGGCACAACTCTAGAACGGTTAAAGTGACGCCACCAATTTCAAACTTGATCTGTATTTTGTGGTAATAATCATTGTGTATAAGTTTCGTAACATTTGTTTGAGGTAAACTTAAGTTAGAGAACAGAAACCAACTCAGTTAAGGGTAAAACGTAATGCCCCCACCGCTACGTAGGGAGCATAAAAAGAAATGGATTCCCAGACGCAGTGTTCCAGCTTGAATCTCAGGGCAGAAGGGTGCTAATTGTCTGAAAGGGCACTTTAGCGTTATAACCCAGATTTTAAGGGCAATGTTGGACAGTGTATAAATTACCTTGAATATTGCTAGGCTCAGCTGGAGAACATTAGTTGTATTTAAACCATATTCAAAAATTAATGTGTTCTTGATGTTGGTTCCAGTAAGAATTTTTTTTATCAAATTATCATACCATGAAGCAAAGCATATCATTTTGATGTTAATCTAAACAAACTTGTACATTTGGTAAGGAAAATAATCATCAGAAATTTCAATGTTTTATAACTTATACCAAAATAAACAAGTAGTTTTGAAAGATGGAGTTATACATGCAAAATTGAATGTTTAATATAATTAAATTATCTACATTTAAATTACTTGTTCAAACATATAGTATATATGTTATTGAGAGTTATTTATTATCATTTGAATTGTTACAAAAAAGTATTTTTAAATGCACACCAAAGTGCTCCTCAGTAAGGAGTTTTATAAATATAACAGGTGAGACAGGAAAGACCATATTATATTGATGCAATAATATATTGCAGAAGGTATAAACAGTTACTTTTTTCTCCATCATTGTTAAAAGTAAATTTGTTGAGTGCTCCTTAGTATGTCAGGAGGATTATAAAATACAAGAAGTAAAACAGGAAGTGAATCTTGTTATGTTCAAAGTACAAATTTCTTTGATTTTTCTTTAAATTTCATACTCATGGTTATGAAACAAAACACCTTCTATTTAGGGCAGGCGGGAACACTGCAGACGTATTGTTTCTTAAAGAATGATAATGATTCAAAACATGGACCCATGTACCTTCTTTCAAAAATTCATAAAATAAATCTAGACATAATTAATGAGGCATTGCGAACTGGTCATTAAATATTCTTACCGACCAATTATTAATAAGTGTAACTCTCCCACGAGACGCATTGAGAGATTTCTTGATCTAATTATAAAAGCATTATTGAAGAGGCTTAACCTTTACATTCGAGATACAAAAGATTTCATTAATAAAATTGAGTCACACGAGGTCAAAAAAGCATATAAACGCATTCCAACAAGAATACCTTGCGAGGTAGTTGTTGGTAGACTTTTGAAAAGGGTCCCATGCTTAAACAATTTTAAGCAAAAAATCCCGAAACACTGATAAAATTCTGAATTATAGTTAACAAACATTTATTTAGTTAGCAAAAACGGTTTAAAGTCTTGAGATTCATTACACATTTCATAATAATTTTTAATTTTTAAAACACAATTTCATAAATTCAGATATATTTATTAAATGAATGTTGGTCTCAGTATATTATGTATTTTCAATCTTAAGTCTTATTATTGATATATAATTGCTTAAACAAACACTCTTTTTCTAACTTTCCAATGTTTACAGAATCCATTGTATGCTTATTCAGTGTAAAAATCTAGAGTTAATTGTTTTGTGTATTTGTATTTTTTTCTTTTGCATAACATATTTTTTAAAAACCTCATGAAAGATTAACATGCAATTGTTAAATCTATTTCCTTATTTAAAAAAGTATATAATATATTTTTTATTATTAAGAATATGATTATTTCCTGGGAATATTAACAAACAGTCTTTATTTTATTTGTTTTATTTTCAGTTTTTGAAATGGACATTTTTGTTTATCTGATTTGTCAAAATTACATGTGCATAAAATTTATTGTTACAAATCAACAAATCCCAAAGCCTACTAGAACTCATTATGTAGAAACCACAACACCATTAATATATATCTGGCACTGATGTTCAATACAATAGGTCGTTAAATCTTGACCATTTAACTTTCACTTGTTTATCAAACGTTGCAACTGTCAACTTTGCTCAAGTAAACACTTACGATGCATAAATATAGCTTTAACATACATGTTTGAAAGTGATCTATAGATACATTTAGTTTATTATCATATATCAGATGAGAGAATAAGCGATTTGTGACAATTTCTTTATTGTGACGTTTTAAATATCTCAGATACCCCAATATGGAGGTGCTCTTAATTGCAGGAGGCTAATACAGATAAGATGAATAAGTGTTCCAAATGAAGAATAATTTAGCTTCGGAATATTCCTCCATAGACTATATTTCTAACTAATAAATATGCGTGAACCCTCAGGGGTTCAGGCATAAACTTAGTTACATAAGACAAGTATACAATAAGGCGTAACTGTCATTCATAATATGTCTATTTATACGCTGACGTGGTTTCCTGATTTTATTCAATTTTGAACTCCTTACTCCTCTGTTAACAATATGTTTGTCTGGGTTAATGTTGTGGGAACGTCTGTCCATTTTGCAGCCTAAAGATAGTCGTCATGTATAAAAAAAATCGTCTCTTCATACTTGTTTGATTTGCATCCAATTATAACTACATGCATGTAGCCTCAGGGTATGTTTCATTATTATTATCTAAAGAAATGTGCAGGAACGGATTTAGGGGGTGCCCAGGCCCCCTTATGAAGCTTCATTCATGGTTAATTCAGACTTTTTACCGCTTCCACTACAAATTGTGTCTTGTTTGGGGACCCGTGGCCCCCCTTTCAAAATCCTGGATCCATCTAAATGTGTAGATCTTCTATACAAACAGAGGCAGATGCACTGTAGTCATCGGATTAATTTTCATAGATAATTTCGTTTGACGACGTGTCAACTTTCGTCTGCCAGTGTAATTTTACTTTCATAAAAAGTTTTATTAAAAAAAAAAGGATTGTGTGCAGTCGGCACAACTTGTATAGTTCACATATTTTATTTATTTATTTTTTTTTGCACATCTGAAATTTTCTACAATTATTTGGACAAATATTAACTGCACAAGAAATGCCTCCACTTTTTTTTATAACTTTTGGCAGTATCCATAGTGAAATACATAAGAAAATGAAGGAAATACAAATGTAAACAGAAAATCGATAATGTTTTGATCAATACACGTGGGTTATTTTTCACGGTTGTAATGGCGGATCGGTCACGTGAGAGGTTAATGGATGCACCCATGTTTTCTAGGTCAATTATAGATAAACCCGTCTATAGTCTACTATAAAAGCCACTGACATGAAAAATAAGAAACAATTCAAACAGGACAACTAATTAACAGCCTATTTATAACCATACAAAATATGACAGACATGAACCAACAACAACTACTGAATTGCAGACTCCTGACTTGGAACAGACACATAAAGAAAATTCATCATTAAAATCAAGATTTAGATTAAAAAGAATGTTAAGGATAGTGCTAATCAACAGAAAAGCAATGGTTAAAGGTTATGGTAGGGGAATTTGTTATCTTTTGGAACAAGCTCTCTAATACATTGAAAGTTTGAAGCTGACCAATGAAAAATCATCTTTTGAAATGAGTACAGCATGATGTAATGGTATTTTGCACTACACAGTACAAGACTCACTTTACCAGTCTTCATTCTAATTTAATTTTCAGTTACTGGTATTTGTTTTTTTTTCATGCATCGCTTATGCCTTGTTCACACGTACATTTAATTCGAATTGAATTCGAATCGAATGCGAATCGAATTCGCTAATCGCGTTCACACACTCTTCTTTTTTAATTCGAATTGATTCGAATTGGCTAAATCGTATTATCCAATTCGCATTAGAAATGCGTTTTTATTAATACGAATTAAAAGTTAACGTCGTTAGGACAGTAAAGCGAATTTGACGCGCATTGCAATTCGAATTAGAATTTACGTTTGGACGTTAAACGTTACGAATGCGAATTAAACTAATTCGAATTAGTTAATGCGAATCGAATTCGAATTACGTGTGAACCCAGCATTAATGTAAGATATAGCTCTGTAGAACATCTTTTAAAATATTACCATCAACGAAAATGCTCTCAGTTTTATCTTTCATGTCTTAGTGTTTTATTTTAATGTCTTAGTGTTTCCTGCAGCTTTTGAAAAGGGCAGTTAACTCAGTGGGTTCTTAGGGTAGAAACTACACTTTAATGGGCACTCTTAATAAAGATATAATTTTAGATATGTATAAAGTGTCAGGAGCCTGTAGTTCAGTAGTTGTCGTTTGTTGGTATGGTTCATAAGTGTTTCTCGTTTCTCGTTTTTTATATAGATTAGACGGTTGGTTTTCCTGTTTGAATTGTTTCACACTAATCATTTTGGGGCCCTTTATAGCTTGCTGTTTGGTGTGAGCCAAGGCTCCGTGTTGAAGGCCGTACTTTGACCTATATTAGTTAACTTTTTATACATTGTGACTTGGATGGAGAGTTGTCTCATTGGCACTCATACCATATTTTTTTATTTGTATATAAAGGCACTGTTAAGTTCTGACATTTTATTTATTTTTATATGTATATAAGAAGGTGTTGTAAAATTAAGTTCTGATATTTTTATTATATTTACAGGTATATCAAGAAGGCGTGGTCAGATTAAGTGATAACTGTGCCCAAGAGGCAGCTAGACGTAATATTAAAAGATATATAGAGTTTTCTGCTGGTCAGATGAATTCTTCAGAAAAGGTAGGATTGTATTAGTGCTATTCCATCAAAATGGATGTGGGAAGGGAGGAAAGGATTTTTAAATCTCCTCAAAGCCAGCATGCATTTTTGAATACATCAAATAAACATACAAAAACAAATGACCAACAACTCATGTCAAAATAAAAAGTGTTCTTCTATCCTTCCACATGTAATGGAATAAACCTGTAATTAATTGAAAGAATAGATGCAGTACCTACAAAGAGATTTTTGTCCTGAACATGCATGAAATATTTGCCACTGGACCTTAAGCAACGAACAATCAATCAATACAAAGAGATTAAGTATAAATTACTGATTGGAGGGTTAAGTGATCACAGTAAAACAGAATGATTGCTGGTGACTACACTGACTAGCGATTGCTTTGTGTATAAATACTGTAAATTCAGAAATTATTGCATGCATTTATTATTGCGATTTTTGAACAATGGAAATAAATGCAAGATTAACTATTGGGATTTCAGGAAAATCTGTATACAGATATATGTATAAGATTCAGAATGCGAGTTCTTATTATTGCGATACTCACCCAGTTGCATTTTTGCATTGATAAAAACCTTGCAATAATTTCTGAATTTACAGTATATTGATCATTATACAGAGAAAACATTTCCAAGTTAATCTCTCAAAATTACTATGAATGTCTACAGAAAAAGGGATTTTAATAAGATTACATTGTGAAGTGCAGTTTAGTACATTCATGGTCATATAAACTAAATAAAAGCATGATATTTTTATGCCCCCGCCGTAGCGGAGGGGGCATTAAGTTTTACCCTTGTCTGTCTGTACGTACGTACGTACGTACGTCTGTACGTCCCAATATTGATTTCCGTTCTCTAACTTGTGTTTGCCTAAACCGAATGTTATGAAACTTATACACAATGCTTATTACCACAAAATACAGATCAAGTTTGAATTTTGGTGGCATCACTTTAACTGTTCTAGAGTTATGCCCCTTTATTAATGGAAAAATTCCAAAATGTTTAGTTTCCTTTCTCTAACTAAAGTTTGCCTAAACCGAATGTTATGAAACTTATACACAATGCTTATTACCACAAAATACAGATCAAGTTTGAATTTTGGTGGCATCACTTCAACTGTTCTAGAGTTATGCCCCTTTATTAATGGAAAAATTCCAAAATTTTTAGTTTCCTTTCTCTAACTAAAGTTTGCCTCAACCAAATGTTATGAAATTTATACACAATGCTTATTACCATATAATACAGATCAAGTTTGAATTTTGGTAGCGTCACTCTAACCGTTCTAGAGTTATATCCCTTTATAAATGAAAAATTACAAAATTTTTTGTTTCTGGTCTCTAACTTAAGTTTGCCTCTACCAATTGTTATGAAACTTATACACAATGCTCATTACCACAAAACACAGATCAAGTTGAATTTTGGTGGCGTCACTTTAACCATTATCGAGTTATGCCTCTTTATAAATCGAAAAATTGCAAAATTTTTAGTTTCCGTTCTGTAACTTAAGTTTGCACCAACCAAACATGATGAAACATATACACAATACTTATTACCACAAAACTCAGATCTAGTACAAATTTGAGTAGCGTCACTTTTATTGTTTTTGAGTTATGTCTCTTTATAATGTTGTATGCAAGCGGGGGCATCATCTGTGTCCATGGGGACACATTTTCCATTTATTTTTTATTGAGTCACTATGCTTCTGATGCATAAAAAAATAGTGTTATTTAATTATTTGAAGGTACACAAGCAGTTATGAAAAACAACAAATAATCTAACAACAACAACAAAATGAGACAATTCAAAAGTTTTAAAGAAGAGTAGAAAAAAAAGAGCAGAAAATACCTAGGGAACATTCAAAACTCATATGTCAAAGAAAGACTGACAATGGCAAGAAAAAAAACGGCAAAAGTAAAGTCAAACAAAACACATAACCATATGAGGCAAAAAATAAAATTTAAATTGTTTGATGTTGCCTACCAACCCACCTTAAAAGCAGCCTACCTGAAAACGTTTATGACACAAATTGTTATCATTTTTTTAAAAAGATTTTTTCCTGCTCTAACATTGTTTTCTTGTCTAAACCATGCAACTCATGTTGTCATGGTTGTTGGCCAAAAAAAATTAAATCCCTACCTACCTACCCAACCCTACAAGGCATGGGTAGACAACATCAAACAAAGTATGTTTTAATGGTGGCCTGTTATGAAGTATTTTTAATCTCATGTTTTTTTGTTTTTTGTTACAGAAACCATGTAAAGAAGACTGCAAATGTTCTCCTTGGACCAAACTTGCCAAACACAAGTTATTAGTAGAAAATCATCTTCAAAACATTCCAGATCTGAATTTTGTAATTATACGACCTGCTATAGTGTATGGTATTGGTGATAGAAATAGCTTAAGTAAGTTATAATCACAAAGCATGATGTGGTTATGATAAATAAAAAACTTGCTTTGGTGGTCTCATTGTAGTTTGCTCAGCTAATGGACAGGAAGTTGGAGGTTCGTTCCATAAATGGTCAAATCAAATACTGTAAAAAAAAATCTTTTATGCCCCACCTGTGGGCATTATGTTTTTGGTCTGTGCGTCCATCCAGTCGTCCGTCTGTCCCGCTTGAGGTTAAAGTTTTTGGTCAAGGTAGTTTTTATATGACTGCAAAAATTAAAAAAATTTTGGTCGTATATTGGTATGACGTTGGCGTCGTCATCGTCGTCGTCGTCGTCCGAAGACACATTGGTTTTCGCACTCTAACTTTAGTTTAAGTGAATGGATCTCCATGAAATTTTACCATAAGGTTCAATACCACAAAAGGAAGGTTGGGATTGATTTTGGGGGTTATGGTACCAATAATTAAGGAATTAGGGGCCAAAAATAAGCATTTTTGTAACTTCCAGACATAACTTGTGTGTTAGTGTATGGATCTCTCTGACATTGTATCACAAGGTTCCATATCACAAAGGGAATGCTGGTATTGATTTTGGGGGTGATTGCCTCAAAATTTTAGGAATTAGGGCCAAAAAAGGGGCAAAAAACAAGCATTTTTCTAGTTTCATGATAATAACTTGTGTGTGAGTGTATGGATCTTTCTGAAATTGAACTACAAAGTTCCATATCACAAAGGGAAAGCTGGAATTGAGTTTGGGGGTAATTGCCCAAAACGTTTAGGAATAAGGGGCCAAAAAGGGGCCAAAAATAGCATTTTTCTAGTTTCTAGACAATAACTTGTGTTCAAGTGTATGGATCTCTCTGAAATTGTACTGCAAGGTACCATACCACAAAGGGAAGGCTGGGATTGATTTTGGGGGTAATTGCCTCAAAATTTTAGGAGAAGGGGCCAAAAAGGGGCAAAAAACAAGCATTTTTCTAGTTTCAGGACAATAACTTGTGTGTAGGTTTATGGATCTTTATGAAATTGTACTACAAGGTTCCATATCTCAAAAGGAAAGCTGGGTTTGAGTTTTGGGGTAATTGCCCTAAACATTTAGGAATTTGGGGCCAAAAAGGGGCCTAAAAACAAGCATTTTTCTAGTTTCCAGACAATAACTTGTGTTCAAGTGTATGGATCTCTCTGAAATTGTACTGCAAGGTACCATACCTCAAAGGGAAGGCTGGGATTGATTTTTGGGGTAATTGCCTCAAAGGTTAGGAATTAGGGGCCAAAAAGGGGCAAAAAACAAGCATTTTTCTAGTTTCAGGACAATAACTTGTGTGTAAGTGTATGGATCTTTATGAAATTGTACTACAAGGTTCCATATCTTAAAAGGAAAGCTGGGTTTGAGTTTGGGGGTAATTGCCCTAAACGTTTAGGAATTTGGGGCCAAAAAGGGGCCTAAAAACAAGCATTTTTCTAGTTTCCAGACAATAACTTGTGTTCAAGTGTATGGATCTCTCTGAAATTGTACTGCAAGGTACCATACCACAAAGGGAAGGCTGGGATTGAGTTTGGGGGTGATGAATCATAAGTGGGTTCAAAAAAATTAGGGGAGGTATTTTTTTTTTTAAATTTTCCATTTTAAATTGGTTATTTCTGATTTATATATATAAAAGCAAACAATAATGATATGGGTTGAATAGGTAAATTAAAAATTTTTAAGTTCTTAGACCACATTCATTCTGTGTCAGAAACCTATGATGTGTCAAATATTTAATCACAATCCAAATTCAGTGCTGTATCAAGCTTGAATGTTGTGTCCATACTTGCCCCAACTGTTCAGGGTTCAACCTCTGCGGTCTTATCAAGCTGCGCCCAGCGGAGCATTTTATTGATAAAGTTGAAGTCCAATCAACTTAAAACTTAGTACACATGTTCCCTATGATATGATCTTTCTAATTTTAATGCCGAATTAGAGTTTTGACCCCAATTTCACAGTCCACTGAACATAGAAAATGATAGTGCGAGTGGGGCGTCCATGTACTAGGGACTCATTGTTTATTGTTGCAAATATTGGGACAGGACAATTAATTGTATGCAGCCTTTCCTGAAATAAAAATAATCAATATATCTTACAGTCAATCTTGCTATAAAGGTCACCTGGTTTCAGCAGTCACATGCCCCTAATGGTCACTTTCAGACCTGTCCAAATGTTTTTTCTATATTAATAAACTCTTTTCAGCAGTCAACTTTCACCTAATATTTATACGAAATCATCATTTTAATGTTTTTGTCTTAGGGCTGTTCCATAAAAATATACATGGAGCCTCATGGCACTTTAAAATCTCAGTTATAGGTGGGTGTGGAATACAGAGGAAAAGCAATACACCCTGTGCCATTACACCATACACGTTATACCTTTGCACCATACACCATAGATATAGGAAGATGTGGTATGAGTGCCAATGAGAAAACTCTCCATCCAAGTCACAATGTGTAAAAAGTAAACAATTATAGGTCAAAGTATGTATGTTTAAATGGAACACCCTTTACACAGTTTTCTTTTATTTTGATAGCTCCAAGATTACTTATCGGTGCTATATACAAATACATCAGACAGAAGATGAAGATGCTTTGGACCAAGGATTTAAAAATGAATACAGTCCATGTTGATGATGTTTGTCGAGCTGTTTGGCACCTTTGCCTGCATGGTCAGAACAGGGAAATATATAATGCGGTGGACGAAGGCCATACTAGTAAGTGCTCATTCATGGAGTACTTTAAAATTTGATTATTTAACTATCGAGATTGGATTGATCCAATAATCCATGAGTAACTATGTAAGAATCTGTTTCTCTCATTATTATCAAATAAATTATCACTTTTGTTATATGAAAATTCCCTTCAAGTGCCTTCCACATTCTGATTTTTCTTAAAGTTGTCAATTTCTTAAGCACATTTGGATTCATCCATAGACTGATAAAGGTTATGACCTTTTAACCTAACCAAACATCTACTGAGATCATGGCAACCACACGTTGATTGGGTTTTTTTTAAACCATATTTATGCATGTAGTAAAATTCTTTACCAGTCTCCAAATGGAAATATATATTTTATGCCTGCCACTAGGCGAAGGGGGCATTTAGTGTTACCCTTGACTGTCTGTATTTCGGTTCATCCCATTTTTGTTTCCACACTTGAACTTAAGTTTGCCTCATGCAAATTTCATGAAACTGGTACATAATGCTATCACTAGAACAATAGAATTCTTGAAAACAAGCAGTGAAATCAAATACTCTAATAAAATATGTTCACATATTATAAGCAAGCTTCAGCTGGGGCATTCATTCCTCAGACACATTCTTCATTCATTAGATTTAAAAGATATTACATTATTGTAAATAGTTTTTGTCAGTTTCGTGAATCCAATGGTTAATGCATGCATACATTTCTGAATTAATTTTACAGTTGTAAAAAATGTGTTGATCAGGGGCTAGCAGAGATCTACTATGAACCACAAATTTCATGAAGGACAAAGCATTTACATATAAGTAAAGACAACCTTTTAAGAAGGTTCCTAACTTGGAATGAAAGAGGGGGTCTCATCCTGAAATCATGAGAAAATAAATGCCAAATCCCGAAATTCCCATGAAAATAATGTACGGTATTTGTTCAGGCATCACAATATAATTAAATCACAAATTCATAACAAGATAACTGGCTATTCCTGAATGCCCTCGAATTTAACAGCTCAATCCCAATGTCCTGAAAAATGTCTTGCCCCTCATGAATTATTTATTTTAATTGTTGTCTTTTTTTTTGTTTCAGCCCAAGGAAGAATCAGTGAGTTAGTGTCAGAAATCTTCAGCATTAACTGTTCCTTTGTAGGATCAGCTTTATCCAATATAGCTCAGGTAACTACAGTCTCTACTATAAATTTGATTACCGTCAAACCTGTATATAAAAGCCACCCTCTAGACAATAGAAAACTGACATAAAAAATAGGTGACCTTTAAAAAATGGTTCAAAATGCATATGTATATTACAGCAGGACAAGATGAGTGTGACCTGACTAGACAGGTTTTTGCTTAATAGAGGTGACCTTTATAGCAGGTTTGATTGTCATTGAAATTTAAACATTACAGTTGTGTTACAAAGATCTCATACATAAACATAAAATAAGGCGATTTGGTAAATTGCCAATTAGAAAAACCTCCACCAAATGCCAATCTGACCAGAGATATGAACAACTAGAAGTCATGTTAAGGTTTTCAAGAGTCACCCAAACCATATGACAAGCTATAAAAATCCCCAGAAAGGCAAATTGTGAAATAATTCAAAAGATTAAACAAATAACCTGATTTATGATACATCAATAAAAGTGAAACAGTTATGGTGGACAGCAAAGAATGACAACCACTGGAATATACTTGGAATACATGGAATACAGGCTCTTGGCTTGAGACAGGCCCATAAAAAATTTGGTGCGGACTAAACATGTTTGTTTTTGGGAAAACATTTTACACGTAGAACATGTAGAGCCCACAAAATGAACTTTACCTTTAATTTCTGTCAGTTGTAAAAAGTTATATATGTCTAATGGCATTAGCTTTATGCAAATTTTATTGTTTCAATTTGTACACAGTACTGCCATTATCATGGATAAGTTGGTCATCTTTTTATAGTGAACTGTGGAATCATAGATACATGTTTATTTTCATAGATAATTTTTTTGTTTTCTAAATTTTTGATATTGAATGTCTATTTTATGAAGCCATTACCGTGATTACAATAAATCTAATTACTAGAATATGATTTTTTTTCTATTCTTATATAATGAAGGAAACATAAAATCAGAATTCTATATAACTAATTAACAGTACTTTTGTTTATAGTTCTTTTATCATCAGCTCTTCAGTATTTGTAATTAGGTATTGGTATTCAAATATTTTGACCTTGAGCACCACTGAAGAGACATTAATTGTTAAAATGTGCTTCTGTTGCTGTAGAACTAATCCTGTTAATGTTATGACATCATATGAGCTGTGTCTGATAGAAATCAACCTTATACAAGTGCACATGTACATGTTCATGTATAAGACTTTGATTGATTTTGGAACATTAAAATATGAAATAAAAGATGAATTTTGGTCTGTTTTGTAGGGTTCTTATATCAACTCAATATTCAAACAGTTACAGACTTTGCATAGAGATTTTTCCACCTGAAATATGTTAGGGCTATTCCATTAAAATGTATGTGGGAGGGTAGGAAGGGACTTTCAAAATATCCCTACAACCAAGAACCATTTTTCAGATAATTTTGCATAATGGTAATAGACGCATACTGAAAAAAGACCCATGACCCACATTCAATAATTAAACTACCCTTCCTACCCTCCCACATACATTTTAATGGAATAGCCCTTAACAGATGTATTGATATTAATTTGCATAAGGTCGATTTCTACCCGACTCAGCCCTAATATTAAAATAATACATTTTATGATATATGTTATGGTTCTTAAAGTTGATTGATTGAATATTTTATATATTTTGCATTCCAAACTTGTGGTTTTGATCATGCCAATAAAGGTTATACCTAAACTGAGTTATAGGCATGAAAATCTGTGTCATGACAGTATCATGCAACAAAACATTGAATGAAAATACTTGCAAGATACACTGTAACTGTAAATTTAAAACGTTTTGTGATGTTTTTATTGTCAAGCCTTCGACTTTAGTCGAAAAAGCGAGACATATCGATCATACATTCAGTCGGCGTCGTCGTCGTCGTCAGTGGCGTCCACAAATATTCACTCCGTGGTTAAAGTTTTTGAAATTTTAATAACTTTCTTAAACTATCCTTGATTTCTACCAAACTTGGACAGAAGCTTGTTTATGATCATAAGATAGTATCCAGAAGTAAATTTTGTAAAAAATAAAATTCCATTTTTTCCGTATTTTACTTATAAATGGAATTAGTTTTTCTGCCAGGAAACAATACATTCACTCTGTGGTCAAAGTTTTTAAAATTTTAATAACTTTCTTATACTATTTTGGATTTGTACCAAACTTGGACAGAAGCTTGTTTATGATCAAAAGCTAGTATCTAGAAGGAAATTTTGTAAAAAAATAAATCTTTTTTTTTCCGTATTTTACTTTTAAATGGACTTAGATTTTCTGCCAGGAAACAGTATATTCACTCTGTGGTTAAAGTTTTTAAAATTTTAATAACTTTCTTATACTATTTTGGATTTGTACCAAACTTGGACAGAAGCTTGTTTATGATCAAATGCTAGTATCTAGAAGAAAATTTTGTTTTCTTCCAGTTAACATTACATTCAGTCTTCAGTTAAAGTTTTTAAACATTTATTAGATTCATAAACTATCCTGGATTTTTACCAAACTTGGACAGAAGCTTCTTACAATCAAAAGATAGTATCAAGAGGAATATTTTTATTGATTTACTTCCTCATTTTTGTTGAGCCTGCGATTAACAGAAAAAGTAGGCGAGACACTGGGTTCCGCGGAACCCTTACGAATTTTTATGTTGTAAATTGTGAAAGGGTTTGATATCTCGGAAATTTTTTAACTCAAATTTTCTATTTTGATAGCATCATTTGTAATCTATGCCGATCTCATGATACTGAAATTACTTATATCTTGTTTTTGTCTATTGTATCGAAATTGCAATTTATGAATGCACATGAAAATTTCTGAATTAACATAAACCAATAATAAATTTATTGTATGTTGTAATTTAAGGTTAACATGTCTAGTGTAGTGGAAGAAATAAATGATAAACACATGGAGCCCTGGGTAGATGCCTGTCAGAAAGACAATATAGAAAACACTCCACTTAATCCATTTATAGATCAGGTTAGTACCCTGTATGTAGCTCTGTAGATAACACGAAACCCTGGTAGATGCCTGTCAGAAAGATGATATAGAAAACACTCAACCAAATGTTATGAAACTTTTACACAAGGCTTATTACCACAAAACACAGACCAAGTTCAAATTTGGGTTGCATTACTTTTACCCTTCTAGAGTTATGCCCTTTAGTATTTTTCGTTTCTGTTCTCCAACTTTAGTTTGTCTCAACCAAATGTTATGAAACTTATACGAAATGATTATTACCATAAAACAAAGATCAAGTTTGAATTTGGGTGGCATCACTTTCACAGTTCTCTAGTTATTTCCTTTATAACGTTATATGCAAATGAAGGCATCATCTGTGTTCCATGAACACATTTCCCATTTATTTAATCTTTTGTCATTGGTCTTTGATATTTGGCATTAAGGTGCATTTACTGTAAGATAGTGTGTTGTGTATCATCATGACTTTCTGTCACCTTGATCTTTGACAACAAGGTCAAAATAGTGTTAGTTTTTGCAATCTTTTAGTGCCCTACGTGGTCTGGTGTCCGTTGACTCTTTCAAAAATCTTCTCCTCTGAAATTACGGCCAAATTGAACTGAAATTGACCACAATCATCTTTGGGGTGCCTAGTTTTGAAATTGTGTTGGATGATGGCCACTAAAATTGTCAATTGACTTCTTAAATGAGTTATTGTCCTTGAATTAGGTTTTTCCCCCTTATTTTAGCTTTTTACCTTTTATCTTGAATAGTTCAATAGGTAGACAGAAGCTGTAAACATCAATACAAGATTTACTCCAAAGTCATCTAACAGAAATCTTTAATAGACTCTTTATTGGAGTACTAGTTGTAGCCTATTTTTTTTTTTTTTTTTTTTGAGGGGGAGACAACTTTCAAGTCTTCTGAAATCCCTGTACTATTGGCCAGTGATTCTTAATTTGTATTTTTTCAGGATTATTACTGTAGCCATTCTCTGCTTTGTAACTTTATAACTAAGCAGCCTAATCTCGACACAAATATGTACAAACGATCAGTTGCCCATTTGTAAAATAATGTGTGCATGATAAAGCATACAGGATTATACAGATAATGCATAAACAACAATACCTTACCTATGTTTCGTCAGATTCTTTTGTATAAAAGTCTCCCTTTTTTGCTCACCTGGCCCGAAGGGCCAAGTGAGCTTTTCTCATCACTTGGCGTCCGTCGTCGGCGTTAACTTTTTACATTTTGAACTTCTTCTAGAGAACCACTGAATGGAATGAAACCAAACATGGCATGAATGTTCCTTATGAGGTGCTGACCAAGTGTTGTTACTTTGTAGCGGATCCATCATCCAAGATGGCCGCCAGCGGGGGACTTAGTTTAACATTGGACCCTATGGGAAATACATACAAATGTCTTCTTTTAGAGAACCACTGAATGGAATGAAACCAAACATGGCATGAATGTTTCTTATAAGGTGCTGACCGAGTGTTGTTACTTTGAAGCCGATCCATAATCCAAGATGGCCGCCAGCGGGGGACTTAGTTTAACAAAGGACCCCATGGGAAATACATACAATTGTCTTCTTTTAGAGAACCACTGAATGGAATGAAACCAAACATGGTATGAATGTTCCTTATGAGGTGCTGATCGAGTGTTGTTACTTTGAAGCCAATCCATTATCCAAGATGGCCGCCAGCGGGGGACTTAGTTTAACATTGGACCCTAAGGGAAATACGTACAAATGTCTTCTTTAAGAGAACCACTGAATGGAATGAAACCAAACATGGTATGTATGTTCCTTATGAGGTGCTGACCGAGTATTGTTACTTTGAAGCCGATCCATAATCCAAGATGGCGGCCAGTGGGGGACTTAGTTTAACATGGGACCCTATGGGAAATAACTACAAATGTCTTCTTTAAGAGAACCACTGAATGGAATGAAACCAAACATGGTATGTATGTTCCTTATGAGGTGCTGACTGAGTGTTGTTACTTTGAAGCCGATCCATAATCCAAGATGGCCACCAGCGGGGGACTTAGTTTAACATGGGACCCTAAGGGAAATACATACAAACGTCTTCTTTTAGAGAACCACTGAATGGAATAAAACCAAACATGGCAAGAATGTTCCTTATGAGGTGCTGACCAGGTGTTGTTACTTTGAAGCTGATCCATCATCCAAGATGGCAGCCACCAGGGGACTTAGGTTAACATAGGACCCTATGGGAAATACATACAAATGTCTTCTTTTAGAGAACCAATGAATGCAATGAAACCAAACATGGCATGAATGTTCCTTATGAGGTGCTGACCAAGTGTTGTTACTATGAAGCTGATCCATAATCTAAGATGGCCGCCAGCGGAGAACTTAGTTTAACATAGGACCCTACGAGAAATACGTACAAATGTTTTCTTTTAGAGAACCATTGAATGGAATGAAACCAAACATGGCATGCATGTTCCTTTTGAGGTGCTGACCAAGTGTTGTTACTTTGAAGCTGATCCTTCATCCATGATGGCTGCCAGATGGGGACAATGTTTAACAAAGGACCCATGGACAATACATACAAATGTCTTCTTTTAGAGAACCACTGAATGGAATGAAACCAAACATGGCATGAATGTTCCTTATGAGGTGCTGACCAAGTGTTTTTACTATGAAGCTGATCTATAATCCAAGATGGCCACAAGCAGGGGACTTAGTTTAACATTGGACCCTACGGGAAATACATACAAATGTCTTCTTTTAGAGAACCACTAAATGGAATGAAACAAACATGGCATGAATGTTTCTTATGAGGTGCTGACCGAGTGTTGTTACTTTGAAGCCGATCCATAATCCAAGATGGCCACCAGCGGGGGACTTAGTTTAACATGGGACCCTAAGGGAAATACATACAAACGTCTTCTTTTAGAGAACCACTGAATGGAATGAAACCAAACGTGGCAAGAATGTTCCTTATGAGGTGCTGACCAAGTGTTGTTACTTTGAAGCTGATCCATCATCCAAGATGGCAGCCAGCAGGGGACTTAGTTTAACATAGGACCCTATGGGAAATACATACAAATGTCTTCTTTTAGAGAACCAATGAATGCAATGAAACCAAACATGGCAAGAATGTTCCTTATGAGGTGCTGACCAAGTGTTGTTACTATGAAGCCGATCCATAATCTAAGATGGCCGCCAGCAGGGGACTTAGGTTAACATAGGACCCTATGGGAAATACATACAAATGTCTTCTTTTAGAGAACCAATGAATGCAATGAAACCAAACATGGCATGTATGTTCCTTATGAGGTGCTGACCAAGTGTTGTTACTATGAAGCTGATCCATAATCTAAGATGGCCGCCAGCGGAGAACTTAGTTTAACATAGGACCCTACGAGAAATACGTACAAATGTTTTCTTTTAGAGAACCATTGAATGGAATGAAACCAAACATGGCATGCATGTTCCTTTTGAGGTGCTGACCAAGTGTTGTTACTTTGAAGCTGATCCTTCATCCATGATGGCTGCCAGATGGGGACAATGTTTAACAAAGGACCCATGGACAATACATACAAATGTCTTCTTTTAGAGAACCACTGAATGGAATGAAACCAAACATGGCATGAATGTTCCTTATGAGGTGCTGACCAAGTGTTGTTACTTTGAAGCTGATCCATCATCCAAGATGGCAGCCAGCAGGGGACTTAGTTTAACATAGGACCCTATGGGAAATACATACAAATGTCTTCTTTTAGAGAACAACTGAATGGAATGAAACCAAACATGGCATGAATGTTCCTTATGAGGTGCTGACCAAGTGTTTTTACTATGAAGCTGATCTATAATCCAAGATGGCCACAAGCAGGGGACTTAGTTTAACATTGGACCCTACGGGAAATACATACAAATGTCTTCTTTTAGAGAACCACTAAATGGAATGAAACAAACATGGCATGAATGTTTCTTATGAGGTGCTGACCGGGTGTTGTTACTTTGAAGCCGATCCATAATCCAAGATGGCCACCAGCGGGGGACTTAGTTTAACATGGGACCCTAAGGGAAATACATACAAACGTCTTCTTTTAGAGAACCACTGAATGGAATGAAACCAAACATGGCAAGAATGTTCCTTATGAGGTGCTGACCAAGTGTTGTTACTTTGAAGCTGATCCATCATCCAAGATGGCAGCCAGCAGGGGACTTAGTTTAACATAGGACCCTATGGGAAATACATACAAATGTCTTCTTTTAGAGAACCAATGAATGCAATGAAAAGAAACATGGCAAGAATGTTCCTTATGAGGTGCTGACCAAGTGTTGTTACTATGAAGCCGATCCATAATCTAAGATGGCCGCCAGCAGGGGACTTAGGTTAACATAGGACCCTATGGGAAATACATACAAATGTCTTCTTTTAGAGAACCAATGAATGCAATGAAACCAAACATGGCATGAATGTTCCTTATGAGGTGCTGACCAAGTGTTGGTACTATGAAGCTGATCCATAATCTAAGATGGCCGCCAGCGGAGAACTTAGTTTAACATAGGACCCTACGAGAAATACGTACAAATGTTTTCTTTTAGAGAACCATTGAATGGAATGAAACCAAACATGGCATGCATGTTCCTTTTGAGGTGCTGACCAAGTGTTGTTACTTTGAAGCTGATCCTTCATCCATGATGGCTGCCAGATGGGGACAATGTTTAACAAAGGACCCATGGACAATACATACAAATGTCTTCTTTTAGAGAACCACTGAATGGAATGAAACCAAACATGGCATGAATGTTCCTTATGAGGTGCTGACCAAGTGTTTTTACTATGAAGCTGATCTATAATCCAAGATGGCCACAAGCAGGGGACTTAGTTTAACATTGGACCCTACGGGAAATACATACAAATGTCTTCTTTTAGAGAACCACTAAATGGAATGAAACAAACATGACATGAATGTTTCTTATGAGTAGCTGACCGAGTGTTGTTACTTTGAAGCCGATCCATAATCCAAGATGGCCACCAGCG